CAATTAAACCAAGACTAAAACGGGTAAAAAAAATTGGGTTTTTTCGAGGGGTTTTTAAATTTATTAAATGGGCTAACTTTGGGTAGGGTTAAGAAAAATTTTTAAATTTAAAGGTTTAAAAGATGGAAAGAAAAATTTGTTCTTTTAAAAAGAATTGAAAAAACCAAGTTAATTTTTTTATATACTAGCAGTGTGTTTAATTTTGGGGCGATAATGACCCTTAAAAGCCCGGGGTAATTTTTAAATGTCATTTATAAAAAATTGCCGGGAAAATTTAAAAAAGCGGAATTTAAGTCTAAATTGTATGGGAAGTCGCTGTTTAGAAATCTCGAGTTTTTTTTCCACTTTTGTCCCAAAAAATGAGTTTAGAGGGAAATCGCGACAATTTCTGTTCACATGTTAGACTAAGCCACGTAAACATATGCCTACTTTAGGTAACCGATTGAGGCCATTATAATCTGCGATATTTTGTTTTGATGCAAATGACTCTGCGCCAAAAGTCGCGGCTGAAAATTGCTATTACACGCCATGATATTTTAAAGACCGTCGCGGCCTATATTTTTTCGCCTCGATTTTCTGTAGAATTTCGCGTATTTCTTTCTCTTCCTCGTCTTTTTATGGACAAACGAGGGATAAAATGTAGAGTCCAACGCTACCTGCCACTGGAGTCAAAATGTTCCTTGCTGTTTCAAACAACTATTTTGAAATATCGATATTTATACGTTCACCACGACATTTTGTACGATTTGGACAGAAATCTTGTGCGCTTGCAATTGCCCGCGACATATTTGATATAACGATAAAATTTCTCGTGGGTTGGAACTGGCAGCAACCGGCCACCAAAGTTAATCGTTGAAATAAGGCGTTAGTTATAATGAAAAGAAAATTGCATAATTGTCTAAGGGCATGTTCCCAAATTTTAAGAAAACCCTATATATGGGTCTATACTTCTCGTCTCCCTGGGAGGCATTCACTCCCCCATGGCAGCAATAAATGGTGACACAATTTTGCGGCCCCGGGTTCATTTAAAATTAGTATTTAAAAATTTTTAAAAAACTTCTACCCCCCGGGGTTTTAAAGGGGCCGCATGGAATCAAGCTCCCCGATGTCCATTAAAAACTTTTTTTCCAAAAAATAAAAATTTGCCCAAAAAATTTTTTTTTTTATGAGCCCTAATTTATTTAATAAAAGGGGTCCCGTTGGCTGTGTGTTAAGGTAATTGCTTAACTATTGCCTAACCAAATGGGTTTTTAAGCTGCACAAACGTTTCATTCATGTGAAAGGGTTTACTAACTTATGGAAAATTGGGGGTTATACTCTGGGGCTGTTTTTTCTTGAATTAACGCAGAGGGGCACCAGAAATCTTCCTTCACCAGTAAAGCTGTAATGTCGCTATATGACCTATAACGTGTTGGTGCGATTTAAAACCCAATAAAAAGCCTGATTTGAAGCCGGTCAGGGATGTGCTTTACTCATGTTGGATGCAATGCAGTTTGCATGTTTGACCCCGACACCTGCTTATGTATGGGGGGATGACACCAGTTAAGTATGGGATATCGACCGAGTACGAGGTCTTTCTGTTTAAGAAAGACCTGGTCACGAATTTCATGTGACACCGAGAGCGCGTAGCGCTCGAGGTGTTTCATGAAATTCGTGACCAGGTCTTTCCTAAACAGAAAGATCGATGTACGAGGCCGATATCCAACTTACACACCGTTAAACTATTGGCTTGAGCTGCATTTGATGTTATGCACAAAGATTACTTAAAACACAGCGCATATACAAGTAAGCTTTTATTAACGTTCTGTTTTAATAAAAATTTAATTTTGCTTTTCCCTATAAAATAATAATTAAAAAAGCTTAATGTGTAATTTGTCAATAATAAAGTCAATGGGTCTGCAATGGATGATATGTAAAAGAATGAATAATTAGGTTGATAGTATTTCGTATCAGATATTGAAGTTTCTAGGACATTTGCTGCCGGACAGTTGCCCCTCGGACGTTTGCCTCCTCTTTTGTTTTGCTGTGGCGACTTTCATATGTCAGGGGGCATCTGTTGTATAATTTTTTAAGTATGTAATTTAACAATGGAAACATTCTATTTCATTTATTTATGGATGTTATTTTGTTTTCACAAATTCGGCGAGAGTTTTGTGTATTGAAGCACAACGGATTTCGACAATAGGAGATGAAGTTTGGTAACAATTTAACAATGAAATATTTCAACTTTTTTAAAACGGGGCGGGGCAAATGTACCCCCTTCCAAGGATATAAAGGGGCAAATGTCCACCACAGCAAACTTTCGAGGGGGGCAAATGTCCACCACAGCAAACTTCCAAGGGGGCAAATGTCCACCACAGCAAACTTCTGAGTGGGAAAATGTCCGGATACCCAAAAAACTACGAAAGACTTGCATATTGTTGGCAAGTTTGAATATTATATTTTATATAGCAGATTTTAAATTCCTATCGAATAAAACATGATCGTTCAGCATATAAATTTTTAAACTTTTTCACCTATAACTTTATTAACATTTCTTTTCAAGATTTTTTTTGATATACATTTTTACCGTTTTTATCGATATTTGAAATTATAATGGGAGATGTGCCCATTGTAGACCAACCCCCTTTAAGTACTATTATATGCATGCTACTATATAGCAAGTTTTCGAGTACATTTATACAATATTCTTTTAACGTGATTGTGTAGCATTCTTTGAGACTAAGTCCTTGCTTTGACGGTTTTCGGGGCATATCTGTTTTGATTTTTCGCCGGTTGAATAGAACGGCAATGCCGCCAACTCAAAGAGAGGAGGAGATTAACGGGGATTCAACAATCTAAGTGGTCCCGTGGGTGGAAATGTTACCAGGGACTTCGCTATTAACGGTGGGTAGCTGCGGTTTCCAATGTAAAGCGTATATCAAATGGACGTTATTTTAATCACAAATGCGTTTTAAACGGACATATTCTTGTTATATTTTTTATGAATTTTGGTACAATTTTTATGTACTATGGATTTTCTAGAACGTTTAAGATATTATGGATTATGTGATTTAAAATCGTTATAAATATGCTGTGATAACTGTAAAATTTCATAGATTAAATGAACTTGAAGCGTCCATTTTTGTTATATTATAAACTTAATGACAGAAGATCCGCTAACATTAATATTACTTTGAAACATAAATGTTAAATATGTCCTAACTTTGATACCCTATCCATAATTTTATTCAAATATTTAATATAGGGATGTTGGAATAATTGCTAAGTGCATTCATTAAACATTATCTTGTTAAGAAAATGTATCCAGATCAGTCTTAGACAGGAATGTTTTGACAATCATGTACATTTTATTTTCATTTTTATTTTCTATTGCATTTCATGTTGTCTTTGTCTGCGCATAGGCAGGTCTATTTTTTCACGTGTTTTTCATGACCGGGTCTGTCTGACTAGAGCAGACCTGTGCACGTGCAAAAGATAGACCTCATAACGGACTTTCTTTTGTTTAACAGGTCTATCCGAAAAATATAGACCTGTCACAAACAATAGAGGAGGTGTGTAAATGCTGGAAAAATGTCTGTAACAGTTATTGTGTGACTTATTTAAACCAAAAAAAAAAAGTTTCTGTATTCTTTTATAGGTCTTGCAGATATTGCAAAGTATTGTCCAAATCTAGAAGCTCTTGATGTTGGCTGGTGCCAGGAAGTAACAGACAGTGGTGTAAGAGTGGTTTCCTTTTCCTGCAAATATTTGGATTACTTCGGTCTCATTCGTTGTGACAGAGTCACATTGGAAACAATAGAAGAGCTTGTGCTAAAGCATCCAAGTATCAACTATTCAACTTTTATACTTGAATCTAGACGATTACTAGAGAGAGAGAGCACGAAATGAGGGATATCAGTTCAAACTGTTAAATCTCCCATGAGAAAACAAAACTTTGTTCACTATACCATACTAGATATCTTTAATCCATCATCTGTCCATCTTAATTCATTTAATTTGGGTAAACATTGCATGAATTTTTGGGAAAATTTCAAAATACGTACACAATGTACTCCCTGAACAGTGAAGTGCAGACAGTAGTAGTGGTAAAGGTGTTTGTCCTTCAGCCCAGGAATCATAGGTTCAAGCCCTACTTGAGAGTAGTTCAATAAGCTCCAAGCTCTCCTTCCAATCAAGCTAAGAAATAGCATGATAGCATACATTGAATAATTTATGAAAAAACATCCACTTGATTCAAGTCTTTCAATTTTTATTTTAAATTGATGTTGATCAACGTAAATTTGATTTATAGTGAATATTTGAATTAAATTGAAGTACTTTTTATTTTGCAGCTTTTGCATAGGCATTAAATGGCTAACATTATCTTATTTACATGTCTTTTTCCAGTCCTTTGTTGGAAACAGTCTAAAGATGCTGTTGTTTTATTATGAACTTGCTGCCAATAACAATTTGCGTTATATTTTTTTTAAATGCGTTTATTTAATGTCGCTGCCGGAAAGCCCATTTGGGCGACCGTACACTCAAGTCGGGCCATCCTAGAGCGTCCCGCCGAAATTTTTCGTCGATTTTTTCCAGCTTTATTGGTGGAGGAAGACCCCAGGTGCCCCTCCGGGAATTAATTCAGGCACGAGCGGGCACCTGGGTAGAACCACAGACCTTCCATAAGCCAGCTGGATGACTTCCTCACATGAAAGATTTCGACCCAATTGAGGATCAAACCTACAGCGGTGAGGGACCTGTGATCTCAAGTCAGCGACCTTTACCACTCGGCCACGGAGGCCCCATAATTTATACAAGTTGCGGACTATATATACAGGAGTATTAAAATGAGAAAAATCAATTAATGTCACTTATTTTTTTTAGTATACATGTACAGGAATAAATAACCGTGCTGGTACAAATATAATCTTTGGTTTGCGCAAACTTTAGAATATAGCCTAGCTGACATAGATATAATCCTCGGCTAGCGTCTAGGGTAATATTTATCGCATTCAGGTTATATTCTTCCGTCAGCAACTTGTCCAACTAATAACATTTATGTTTTATATGGTAATATACATGTATTTGTTAAAATATTTCAAATAAAATCTGTTTACTGAGACCAGGACTTTTGTTATCACTAGCTCGACACAAGAGCATAACATTTAACCATTTTATTTCATTCTTTTCTGTGCTTAAAGCAGCATGCCTCCATATTCAAGCTAATTTTCATAAAAAAATTTAAAATGTATTAAAAAGTAAAATGTTGTGAAGTGAACAAAGAAAATAATTTACCCATTGCAAACTTGCTCTTGCAATCCACATAAATTACCAAATAGAGGTGAAAATAAGCAAAATTAGTCCTTACTGTTTTAGTAACGCAGTATAAATATGATGATAAATACCCTAAAATCAGCCTTTAATTGCCTACAACATGTAAATCATTACTTGGATCTTGAAATATTTTACTTTTCTTAAAATTTTAGCACATTTTTCTCAAATTTAATTGTTTTGAAATATTTCGGCTCGTCCGGAGGCATGCAGCTTTAAGGTTGTTCATATGAAACTGTTTGAAATATGATGATGAAACTTCTTATACAAATCAAAATAATAGAAAGGTTATACATCAAAGCGATTTTATTTAAGATTACAATACAGCTGGGAAATTTTGTAAATTTAACAATACTTTATTAATAATGAAACTTTACACAGAATTCAGAATATACACATAACAGTTTCATTTGAGCATACACGAAACCCTACTGACAAATATAAGAGGAATTTTCTTTTTGACTTGACAAATGTACAAAGAATTATCTTTGTAAAATAAATGTAAAATGAATTTTCTTTTTAACTAGACAAACACACGTTAAAAATATGAAAGGTTTAATTAAACACAATAAAAACATCGATTTCGGTGTGCAGATGTAAATACGCCTCCACTTTTCTGTCAGCAGGGACTTGAGGCATTCCTAGATATATATGTACATATCCCAGCTTGTTTCTGCGTGATTTTCAACAAGGACATATATGCTTAAAACGTTTGATTGTGTCCGTCAAAACTGTTTTGTATCTTCAAACGCTGATCTATTTATCGAGCATGCATATATACATTCTTCCATGGGTAAGAAATATTAATTTTTTAAAGAACCTTTTCAAGATGAAAGTAAATGTACGTTGCGTCATATTTTTATTATGGATTTTAACATAGAACAATAATAATAATGTAATTGTCAAACGTTGAAAACATCATTTTATTATTATGATGATCAAGAGAATCCAAGAAAATAATTCTGACAGCAATCTGGAGAAACATAGATGAATGCAGTAGCATTGCATGTAGATTTTTCTGGAAGTGCTAACGGAATTTCATTTCTACTTTCTTTAAACTCGAGTATTTCCATTTGTGCCACCTAATTCCTTTATTACTTTTTTCGGAATACTGTCCGTTGAGATTTGAATAGAAACAACTTTTATACCACCAAGCACCATGATACTTAACAGCACAATTTGAATCATATTTATCATTGTCTCTGTCAAAAGTTGAGAACATCATTCCATTATGATTCTCTAAGGCATCCCCAGCAGTTCCACTATATCCACTCACCTCCAGTTTGTAGTTGTCTTCTTCTGGATATATCTTAAACTTGCTATACTTGGCATAAACACTGTTTCCATCAAAATCTTCCAACTCTATTCTAAGTTCATGTTCTCCACCTAGTGTCAGTGAACTCAAATGTTCATTTCCGAGCCAGAACTCGCCGTTTAGATCGCCAAAGCCATTTTTGTAGTCAGCCCAGTTACGATAGAAATCTACCTGTCCATTGAGTCTTCTCTGAAATACTGTCCAACCCCCACCATTTGTAGTTTGGTCACAGTACACCACCGGTCCTTGTCGTAGGTTATATATACCACTTTGTATTAAACTATTGTTTAGTAAGTCAATACAAGACACTTGTCTTAATAAGGGCATAATGTTAGTTGATAATTCTGTTACCAGCGAGTATACACGTTCTATATTTACTGCATTTTTAATCACATTTGCTGCTATAGCATCAACTCTTTCATTGCTTATGGCTGTTTTGTTTTCTGTGTCATCGGTTTTTTGTTTTACTTGCTCAAGTTTTAAAGCGATGTCTCTCAACTGTTTACTGTCGTGTGAAATTTTTTCATTTATTTCATAAAGCAAGGTAATATGTTTCTTAGTGATTTCAGATACTATCAACTCGCTTGTTTCTTCTATTCTCGATACTGCCTTGTCGGTCTTGTTTAAACTTATTTTACAATAGTTATCCACTTTATCTTGAACTGCTTTAAGATTATTTCCTAAGTTAGGAATTTCTCTCCGAATCCTTCCCGCTGTGGCCTTCTCTTCGCCAAATGCTTTCCTGATTCGTGTAAAGTCTTGTTTCAGATGTTCAATAGCTTTAGAGCTTGTTTCGTCTGTTTCCTTTGACACTTCATCGTAGCGGCCTACTCTGCGATCAAGTGATGTATTCAATACTCTATCTATCTCGTCCAATCTATAGATTATTTCTGAGTGATCATCATGCCTGAATTTTGATTCTGAATTAACTCTGTTTTCTAAGTATCGTATTCTTTCCTTCACAAGTCTTAAATTATTAGCAGAACAGTAAATTATTCCGACTATCAGCAGAGTGATAAATACGACTTTCATGTTTGATAGACAGGTGCTTATTTAATGTTTAAGGTATATAAATCCTACAGCCTGATTAATTTTTTTTTTATATTAACATCAAACTGCCAGTTCCTTTCTTAACAATAGTTATTTTTTGTTAGCTATATCAAGATACCAGTCATATTTATATAACTATCCGGTTGCGTTAATTATGCTGAACTTGTTATTTTGGTACTTGAGGCACTTGAAAAAAGAGAGCAAAAATCTGGTTAATTACATAAAATGTTGTTCACATTTTGGTAATTTCAGTCAATTATTCATTCAGTTGGAGTGGTTTATTTCTTTATTCATTTTTTATTCTTTCTTTTTTGCAATGGCGTTCTTAATTTGCAGTCGATATAAAAATAAAGAAACGGGCCTTTAATGTTTTTGCATTACTATTTTATTCTTTAGAAATATTTTGTAAATATTTTAATGGGCTTTATGATTATAAAAGAGTGACAGCGTTGCAAAGAAGTTAACACGTAATTACAAGTACTAGTTATCTAAGGAATGCTGTCAAGCCAACAAGAAACTTTACACTCATTGCTTGGTACTGGTTGGTTACAGGAACTGATTCTAGAGCGTTTTAATAAAATAGAGAAAATTGAAAATGTTGCAGGCTCGGTTTTTATAAGCCTATAGCTTCAAACGCAATTGAACTAGAATAAATAAGTTAACTAATGAATGTAAAAGATGCAGATATTTCCTATATATAGCAAGGGTTTGAATAAAAGACGAATTACATCTTTAAACTTTTCAGACTGTACACTTTTCAATATTCGCGTTTTAACTCTTACTCTACATGTACCTCCTTGGAGTTCATTCAAAAATATATTTGTGATACCTGATAGGCAGGGATTTAAATATAAATAAAAGCAGTAATGTATTTCTATCTTAAAAGCATTTTTCGTGTGGATCATTTTCATTCTTCTAAATAACTAAAGAGGCAAGTTTAAATTTAATTATATACAATTATTGACAAGTGAGCCATTTAATATGGGCAGATGACATATTGACCGAGGTTATAGCGGAGGTCAATATGACTTTCTGCTTGAGAATATCACATCAAATTCAATGGCTCACTAGTCAATAATTGTTTTACTAAGAGTTAAAATAAATCACAAAAAGGACAACCTTAATATACATGTACAAATTATGCCTTATTGAAGCGCGGGGAAAAAGGCACACGCGAACGCTGCACATACAAAAGTAATTCAAGTTTATACTCATCATTGCGGTGTAGCCTTTAAGTATAATTGTAAACGACAAATATGCCATAAAGAACGAAATTCAACTATTATTTTTAATTAACACGCGTAATTAACAGTCTACGGCGTATGGTTCTTGAATATGAGTCTCAATCTATTTTTAGACTGGGAAAATCCAATTCAGCCAGTGAATATGACACTACACCCAGTGAATATGATTTTATCAAAAGTTCTGTTGACTACTATTTGGACCAATGAGATTGCAGCTATATTTACAGCTATATAATAATTACATTTAAATTTAAGATAATCTTTCTTTAGGGTATGAGCCCTTTAATGGAAACTACAAGAAACTATAAAATTGACAACATATGTCAGTTATATACCTTATAAGACACAATAATGCAAAATTTAAACAAGGTTTACCGTACAGTTAACGAGCTATGGAGATTTTTCTTAAGTAAAACTTGGATATTAGAAGGGCTCCTTTTTGAAATGAGAAACTCTAAATATTCTATTTTATAATAATTGTGCCTATAGAACATTTTTGAGAAACAAATAATAGCATTCAGCTAACAAATGACCCAGCAAAATTATTGTTTCTACTCAAGATGTTTGAAATATGTACATAAATGTTACCCTATCCCACCCATTTTAAGTACTTGTTTGATCATTTTCCTACTTGGAGGGCCTTATTCAAAATATTCCTAAAATTTACTCAAATCAGGGGCTGTTTTCAAAGTTTGCATACATTTTCTTAAAAGTATATTGGTTGCGCTTTTCAAATATAAAATACTTTTCCCGTCTTGTTTTTATTTTATTAGACTTTGAATATATCAGGTACCATATTTGATAAAAATTTTGGCACAATTTAGCCAATAAATACCAATAATAATTTCATAATTAAAATGAAACACTTTTTTCTTCTCAAGAGTGATATGAGAGACACAAATAATATTCAAAGAAAGAAAAAAAGAAAGAAAAAAAGTTGTCGCTTCTGGGGCTTGAACCCACGCCCCTCAGTTACAATGCAGTTGACTGTAGTTCTAGCCTTTTTGAATACTCTTCAATGTGGATGTAATGCATTAGGTGGATCATACCTTAAATAATAAAAATAATATTTTATTATAAAAATGAACACTGAGAGGCGGCATCTTAAACATTCGGTGCTATTGACATTGTATACAAGTCAATCGGAACATCTCGGCTATTATCAATAATAATCATTATCCTTGCGATCGCCAACCTAACAGAATTAACCAAAATTCAAATGGCTGCTATGTCCATCTAGTGATCTTCCTGCAGAATCATTTTGTTTGTTTGTGGCGGGCCACAAAATGGCGTCACACCTATAAAGTGCAGCCTTCTCATGTACCCATTCACACTTGATCGAGTGATGTAAATCAAAAGATAGGTACTCTGCATAGACATCTACACTATTGTGTCTGTACAGGTCACTGGGATCAATCTCCATGATGTTTTATGGATACAGTTATTCAGATATACATTGTGCCAATGCCAATGTTTTCATAGAGCCTCGGTGACCTCATATAGTTAAATTTACTTACAGGTCTGTGGCTGAATGGTTAAGGTATTTGGCTTCAAACCACTTGCCTCTCACCACTGGGGATTCAGGCCGCACAAACGTCTTCGGATTCTTTCATGGTCAGGAAAGCTATTTCTATGTTACTTAGGAAACATGTTGGTTCACTTTGGTTGGCCCTGTTTTTCTTGAAAATAACGCTATAGGCCACCAGAAATCTTCCCATTAAAACCCAGTAAATTCGGGAGTGGCCAAATCAGACTATAGACGTGTTGGCGTACGACTTAAAAAACCCAATTAAAGTGGAATTGAAGTCGGTCAGGGATGTGCCTCAATCATGTTGGATGCAATGCAGTTTGCATGTTTGAATATGACACCTGTTTATGTATGTGGGGTCGGACGACTTAGGTATTCTTCCACCAGTTAATAGCTGGAAAAGTGTATGTGACAGTTTTTGCGTGACTTATTTCAAACCAAAAGGAGTTTTATTTCCTTTTATAAGCGGTCTTGAAGCATTATTGCAGAGTGATCTGTCAAAATCTAGAAGCTCTTGATGTTGGCTAAGGTTGCCAGGACAAGTAACAGACAGTTGTTGTAAGAGTGATTTCCCTTTCCTAGCAAATATTTGGATTACTTTGGTTCCTTATTCGTTGCTGACAAGGAGTCACATTAAGAAACCCAATAGAAAGAGCTTGTGCTAAAAACATTTCCAATTATCCTAAACTATTCAACTTTTATACTTGAATTTAGACGATTATTAGAGAGAGAGAGAGCACGAAATGAGGGATATCAGTTAAAACTGTTAAATCTCCCATGAGAAAACAAAACTTTGTTGACCCAGGCTAAATATCTTAAATAGACATGTCCACCATTTAATCTGGATAAAACATTGCATGATTTTTAGGGAAATTTTCAAAATAGGTACACAATGTTTTGCGGAACAGTGAATAGTGTAAACCATAACTTGTATGTTCCGTAGATTGCAAGATATGGCATACAGTCGTAGTGGTAAAGGTGTTTGCCTTTCAGCCCAGGAATCATAGGTTCAAGCCCTACTGGTGCTACAGTGTTTCGTATACAATACTAGTTCTGGTAAGTTTCAGGAAGCAAGGTATGGCCTAGTGATATTGGTGTTTGACTTTTAGCCCAGGGATCATAGGTCCGAGCTCTTCAGGCTCCAGTGTTTCTTCATACAACACCAGTACTGGTAAGTTTCAGGAAGCTGACTTGAGAGTAGTTCAATAAGCTCCAAGCTCTCCTAAGCTAAGATATAGCATGATATCATACAGTGAATAATTTATGAAAAAACACCCACTTGATTCAAGTCTTTCAATTATTATTTTAAATTGATGTTGATTAACGTAAATTTGATTTATAGTGAATATTTGAATTAAATTGAAGTACTTTTTCTTTTGCATAGGCATTAAATGTCTAACATTATCATATTTACATGTCTTTTTCCAGCGCTTTGTTGGAAACAGTTTAAAGATGCTGTGGTTTTATTATTTATTTGCTGCCAATAACAATTTGCGTTATAATTTCTTTATACAAGTTGCGGACTATATATACGGGGCGTCCGTGGCCGAGTGGTTAAGGTCGTTGACGTTCAAACCACTTGCCCCTCACCGCTGTGGCGTTCGAATCCCGACAGGGACTTTGGATTATTTCATGTGAGGAAGCTATTCCAGCTAGCTTACGGGAACGTCGGTGTTCTACTCAGGTGCCCGTTCGTCCGCCTGAAATAATGCACCGGAAGGGCACCTGAGGTCTTCCTCCACCATTAAAAGCTTCTTGCGAACGTCGCGACTATGACCTATTAACTGTGTAACGATTGACTACACAAACCAAAACAAAACATACAAAAAGACTATATATACAGGAGTATTAAAAATGAGTTTAAAATCAGTTTAAGTCCACTTTATTTTTTTAGTATTACACTGTACAGGAATATTATAACCGTCGCTGATTACTATATAATCTTGCTTGCGCATAACTGTGAATATAGGCCTAGCTGACATAGATAAATCATCGCGCTAGCGTCTGGTAATATTTATTCTCATCTACTCTCTCTCTCTAGTCAGCAACTTGTCCAACTAAAATATTTATGTTTTAATTATCTGGTAAGTAACAGTATTGTCCCAAAATATTGAAATAAAAATGCTGTTTGGCTGAATATCACTAGCTCGACACAAAAGCATAACATTTAACATTTTATTTCATTCTTTTCTGTCTGCCTTACGTGTGCTTAAAGCTGCATGCCTCCAGATTCATGCTGATTTTCATGAAAATTTTAAAAATGTATTAAAAAGTAAAATATTGTGAAGTGAACAAAGAACATAATTTACCCATTGCAAACTTGCTCTTGCAAACCACATAAATTACCAAATAGAGGTGAAAATAAGCAAAATTAGTCCTTATTGTGTTAGTAACACTGTATAAATATGATGATAAATACCCTAAAATCAGCCTTTAATTGCATAGTACATGCAAATCCTTACTTGAATCTTGAAACATTTTACTTTTCTTGAAATGTTAGCACATTTTTCTCAAATTTGATTTTCTTGAAATATTTCGGTTCGTCCGGAGGCATGCAGCTTTAAGGTCGCTCATATGAAACTGTTAAAAATATGATGATAAAACTTCTTATACAAATAAAAAAAAGGTGATACATCAAAGCGATTTTATTTAAGATTACAATACAGCTGTGAAATTTTGTAAATTTTACAATACTTTATTAATAATGAAACTTTACACAGAATTCAGAATATACACATATCAGTTTGGTTTGAACATACACAAAACCCTACAAGGCAAATCTAAGAGGAATTTTCTTTTTTGACTAGACAAATGTACACAGAATTATCTTTGCAAAATAAATGTAAAATGAATTTTGGTTTTAACTAGACAAACACACGTTAAAAATATGAGAGGTTTAAACACAATAAAAAACATTGATTTCGGTGTGCAGATGTAAATACGCCTCCACTTTTCTGTCAGCAGGGACTTGAGTCATTCCTAGATATACATGTACATGTATCCAGCTTGTTTCTTCGTGATTTTCAACATTAATATATATATGATTAAAACGTTTTATAGTGTCCGTCAAAACTGTTTTGTATCTTCGAACGCTGATCTATTTATTGAGCTCTCATATATACATTCTTTCATTGGTAAGAAACATTTATAAAGAACCTTTTCAATATGAAAATAAACATACGTCGCTTTCATATTTATATAATGGATTTTAACATAGCATTAACAATAATGATAATAATAATAATTAATGATGATAATAAGTAATCAATGTAATGTGTCCAAAAGTTCGAACACATCATTTTATTATAATGATGATCAAGACCAATCAAAGAAAAATACCTTCTGGCAAACAATCTTGGGAAAAATCGTAGATGAATGCAGTAGCATTGCTTGTAGATTTTCTAGAAGTGCTAACGGAATTTCATTTCTACTTTCTTTAAACTTGAGACTTTCCACTTGTTCCACCTAATTCCTTTTTGACTTTTTTCGGAATACTGTCCGTTGAGATTTGAATAGAAACAACCTTTATACCACCATGCACCATGAAACTGAACAGCACAATGTCTTTTATCTGTTTCATTGTCTCTGTCAAAAGTTGAGAACATCATCCCATTATGATAATCTAGGGAATCCCCGGCATTTCCACTATATCCTCTCACCTCCAGTTTGTAGTTGTCTTCTTCTGGATATATCTTAAATTTGCTATACTTAGCATATGCACTGTTACCATCATAATCTTCCAACTCTATTCTAAGTTCATGTTCTCCAACTACTGCTAAGTAGAGAACTCAAATATTCCATTACCGAGCCAGAAACTTCGCCGTTTTAAATCCCCAAATCCCTATTTTATATCCAGCCCAGTTACGATAGAAATTCTACCTTCACCATTCAGCTTCTCTTGAAATTTACTATCCAACCCCCCACCGTCTGATTTTGGTCACAGTAAACCATGAGTCCGTTTCGTAGTTGATATGTACCACTTTGTGTGTTCCCGTTATTGAGTAGTTTAACACAAGACATTTGTTTTAATAAGGTTTTAATGTTAGTTGATAATTCTGTTACCAGCGAGTAAACACGTTCTATATTTACATTATTTCTTTCCACATTTGCTGCTATAACATCAACTTTTTCATTGCTTATGGCTGTTTTGTCTTCAATGTCTTCGGATTTCTGTTTTACTTGCTCAAGTTTTAAAGTAATTTCTTTCAGTTGATTGACGTTTTCTAACTTATCGTACACGGCAATCTGTTTTGCACTGACTTTTGATATCATCAATGTATTTGTTTTTAATCTCGAAATAACATTGTCTGTCTTGTTTAAACCTATTTTACAATAGTTGTCTATTTCCTTTTGAACTGCTTTAAGATTATTTCCTAAGATAGAATTTCTCTACGAACTTCTTGCCATTTTTGCCTTCTCCTCGCCAAATGCTTTCCTGATTCGTGTAAAGTCTTCTTTCAGATGTTCAAAAAGCTTTAGAGCTTGTTTCGCCTGAATTTCTTTTGGTACTTCGATCGTAGCGGCTTACTCTGCGATCAAGCGATGTATTCAATACTTTATCTATCTCGTCCAATCTTGTAGGATTATTTTCTGAGTAATCCTCATGTCTGAATTTTGATTCTGAATTAACTCTGATTCTCTAAGTATCGTATTCTTTCCTTTACAATTCTCAAATCATTAGCAGAAGCATAGATTATTCCGACAATCAGCAAAGTGATAAATGCGACTTTCATGTTTGACAGACAGTAGCTTATTTACTTATTTTATGTTTAAGGTATATAAATCCTACTGCCTGATTAATTATTTTTTTATATTAACATCAAACTGCTAGTTCCTTTCTTAACATTAGTTATGATTTGTATTCTATATCAAGATATCAGTCATATTTATATAACTATCCGGTTGCGTTAATTATGCTGAAGTTGTTATTTTGATACTTGAGGCACTTGAAAAAAGAGAGCAAAAATCTGGTTCATTACATAAAATGTTCTACAAATTTTGGTAATTACAGTCAATTATTTATTCAGTTTGAGTGGTTTATTTCTTTATTTTATTTTTTTTACTTTCTTTTTTTGCAATGGCGTTTTTCATTGGTAGTCTAATTAAAAATACAGCAAACGGACATTCAATGTTTTATTTTTATTATTTTATTCTATAGAAATGTTTTTCAAATATTTTAATGGGCTTAATGATTATAAAAGAGTGGCAGCGTTGCAAAGAAGTCAACAGGTAATTCCAAGTACTAGTAATCTAAGGAATGCTGGTCACGTGGTTTCAAACCCCCGTCAGGGACAAGTCAGCAAGAAACTTTACACTCATTGCTTGGTACTTGTTCGTTACAGGAACGGATTCTAGAGCGTTTTAATAAGCCTATAGCTTCAAACGCAATTGAGCTAGAATATATTAGTTAACTAATTAATGTAAAAGATGCAGATATCTCTTATTTATAGCTAGCGTTTGAATAAAAGACGAATTACATCTAAGTGAACTTTTCAGACTGTACACTTAAATATGCACGTTTTGTACTTTTTACACCTTGTGAGTCGCACTGCAAATTTTGTCGTAAAATTCACATTATTTATGAGCCTTTAATTTATGCGGTTAGTCTAGTGCAAAATTAACATAATATTTTGCGTTTCTGACCTATTTTATATTTTGCGATTATGACCTAAATTATATCCTACGTTTCTGACTTAATAATTATGTTATAATTTTTTGCGTTTCTGACCGGGAAACATTATTTTTCCAAACTCTAAAAATAACGTACCTCCTTGGGGTTCATTTAAAAATATATTTCTGATATCTCTAAGATAATCAAATAGCAGTCATGTATCTCTATGCCAAAAGCATTGTTCATATGGATCGTTTTCATTTTCTGAAATAACAAAAGAGAAAAGTTTAAATTATAACATTTGAATTAAAGATTTAACTTTTCTTAAAATAATTAAATAATATTTTATTATAAGAATGGACACTGTGTTGAGAGGGGGCACTCTAGTAGTCAATCGGAACATCTCGGCTATTATCAATAATCCCTATCCGAAGACGAACAGTTGCGATTGGTTGGTATACAATTATAACATGTCACTGAACTATGGCAGCAATATCAACCCTAGGATCATCCAAGGTTTAAGGTGCATAGCCGTGTTTAAAATAAGGTATAATTTCGAAGTGACTGATAAATAATTAAGAAAGTTGGGAGTCTATTGAAATTGAGTTTATTTTGGCAATTTAAACTAGTCAGTCAGTTAACAAGTGAATCATGGTAGTATTTTTTCTTGAAATACATTAGTTACCTTACATGTGGGCAAGTGTAATAATACGGAATCGCATAATATGTCCCAGAACAAATTTATACATAGCGGAAATACAAAGATATGCATTCCTTCAACAACCCTGAAGTCCGTCTGTTCGTCGTGGTTACGTTTAAATACTTGATGAAAAATCATATAAAAGGTTCTACAATGAGAAATGCAATTAAACCAAGAGGTGTACCGTAAGATAAGAATAGTGTATTGCACGAAGCGCGTTCATTTAATGTGTCACTTATGCGCCTCCATATATACTGCGTGGTATAGTAAGAATCGCGTTTTTAATTTGGAAGGGTTCATGAATAATGGCACGAAATTTGATCTTTCGAAAGTTATTGAAAATCCATATGTGTATTGTCTTTTATACTAGCTAGCTTTATTACTGTTAAGTATGGTGGCCGATAGCGGCCATTTAAAAGCCGCGATAATTTTAACCGTCAGTTAATAAAATGTCGCGGGCAACTTTTAAATCAGCGAGATTGTATGTCTAAATTGTATAAAATGCCGCGGCTTATAGAAACTATCGAGTTTTTATGTCACACTTCTGTCGTAAAAAGTCAAATTGTACGAGGAAAACCGCGACAATTTCTGTTCACATGGTAGACTTAGCCACGCAAACATATGCTTACTTTAGGTAGCCGATTGAGAACATTATAATCTGCGATATTTTGTTTTGATTCATAACTGGTAAAAAGTCGAGTTTGAGCATTAAGCTTCAACATTTTATGCCAGGAAATGTCTCTGGGCCAAAAGTCAAGGCTGAAAAGAGCTATTACATGCCGTAATATTTTAAAGACCGTTTTTGAGGAACAGAAGTCGCGGCCTATAATTTTCGCCTCGATTTTCTGTAAAATTTCTACACCGCTTGCAAAAGCTGTCGCGTATTCCTTTCTCTTCCGGACAAACGAGTGATAAAATGAAGAGTCAAACGCTACCCGCCACTGGAGTCAAAATGTTCCTTGCTGTTTCAAACAACTGTTTTAAAATAGCGACATTTATACGTTTACCGCGACATTTTGTACGATTTGGGCAGAAATCTTGTGCGCTCATAATTGCCCGCGACATATTTGATATAACGATAAAATTTCTCACGTGTTGGAACTAGCAGCAACCGGCCACCATAGTTAAGCGTTGAAATAAGGGCGTTAGTTTAAGTAGTTTTTAGATATAATGTAAAGATATTGCATGATATTGTCTAAGAAGGCATGTTTGCCAACTTTACAGAGTTTACTACTATATCTATCTAGCGATCTCCCTGGAGAGGCATTCACTCCGCCGGTGGCAACAATAACATGGTGCTACAGAACTATGCGGCCCTCTCTTGTACCCCTGTACACTTGAGTGATGTGAATCAATGTATAGTTACTATGCATTGAGCTCTACACCCGTGTGTCTTTAAAGGGCACTGCATGGAATCAAGCTCCATGATGTACCTATGTATACATTTTTTCCAGATAAACTTTGTGCCAATATTTTTATAAACCCTCAGTTAGATTTATTTAGAACAAGGACGTCCGTGGCTGAGTGGGTAAGGTTAAGGCTTCTAACCACTTCCCTCTCATCACTGGAGGTTCAAGCCGCACAAACGTCTTCGGATTCTTTCGTGTCAGAAAGCTATCCAGCTAACTTATGGAACATTGGTGGTTCTACTCTGGTGGCTGTTTTTTTTTAAATAACGCAGAGGGGCACCAGAAATCTTTCTTCACTAGTAAAGCTGGAATGTCGCCATATGACCTATAACGTGTTGGTGCGACTTTAAACCAAATCAAAGTGGATTTGAAGTCGGTCAGGGATGTGATTCACTCATGTTGGATGCAATGCAGTTTGCACTTATTGCAAGATATAGAATACAGTAGTAATGGAAAAAGGGGTTTGCCTTTTAAACCCGGGGTCATAGATTGAAACCCCACTTGAGCTACAGTGTTTCTTCTGCGCACCAACGGTAAGTTTAGGAAGCAAGGGATGACCTAGTGGTAAAGGTGTTTTCCCTTTTTGCCCAGGGGTTAGGTTCGAGCCTCCTGGGCCATAATTTTTTCATTAGACACCAATACGGGAAGTTACAGGGAAACAAAGGATGGCCCCAGTGGTTAAGAAGTTTTCCTCTCAGCCCGGGGTAATATAGTTAAACCTTTCTTTGGGGGTACGATGTTTTTTTATCAACACCAGTATGGTAAATTTCAGGAAACTGACTTTTAGAGTGGGTCAGTTTTCCCCTACCCCCCCACAATAAAACAAGATATAGCATATATTATACATTTAATAATCCAAAAAGTCAACTTGATTCAATCTTTAGGCTAGCGTCTCGTGTAATATTTATCTCATTCGGGCTATATTCTCCCGTCAGCAACTTGTGCAACTAATAATATTTATGTTATATTCAAATGGATTATAGACATGTATTTGTTAAAATGTTTAAAATAAAATCTGTTTTATTGAGATATTGAGAGCTGGTCTTTTGTAATCACTGGCTCGACACAAAAGCATAACATTTTAGCATTTTATTCTGTCTCACTTGTGCTTAAGTTAGTTCGAATGAAATTGTTTTAAATATGAGGATAAAACTTCTTATACAAATCAAAATAACAGAATGTTATGTGTCCCAGCGAGTTTATTTACATAACAATACGGTTGTGAAATTTTGTAAATAATTTATAAATGATGACAATTTATACAGAATACAGAATATACACGTAACAATTTGGTTTGAACATGCATGCATGAAACCCTAGGGGCTTCCGAGGCGTACTGCGCCTTTTAAAAATATGGATACTGTACATTTTTGCTCCTGAAGAAAATGTGCTGCTATGTTTAGCATGCATTAACCGTTTAGCAATAATTCGGTGCATGTGCCATTCGCAATTTCATTCTTACAGGTGTTTTCGAAATATTTTTTGTGACATTCCAACAATTTTTGCATACATTTTTACATGCAGGAGGAGATATTTGAACTCGCCGTTCCTT